TTGTGGATGGCTAAATCAACCTAATTAATATATCTACCACCTCATATACTTAATTTTTGTTGAAAGAACATTTAAGATCTACTCTTACCAATGTATAAAATATGTCATTATTAACTATAGTCACCATGCTGTATAATAGATCTCCTGAACTTATTCCTCCTACCTGAAGCTTTGTACCTTTTGACCTACATCTGCCCATCCCCCATCCCCATCCCCCAGCAATCACCATTCTACACCTTTTTCACATGTGACAATAAATCTTGGAGATTTGCTCATGCTAGTAGACACAAATATACCTTATTATTTTAACTGCTGCACAATATTCCAAAGTATGAACATGTTGCAATTTATTACATGATTCTATTAATGAGCATTTTGGTTATTTCCAATGTTTTTCCTCTATCATAAACAATGCTACAATAAATATCTTCATATATACTTCCTTATGCACATGTGTGAGTGATTCCCTGTGGTTGATACCAAGACTGGAATTGCTGGGCCATGAAGCAGGTGCATTTCAAAATTTAGTTCTCCTTTTCGAATAGGCCATATATTTACCTGATTCAAAAGTCACAAATGATATACAAGGTATACATTGCAAAGTCTTTCCCTGACCTTTTCCCTCATCTATTTTTCCATCCCTCTCTCCTATAGGTACTATTAATAGTTTCTTGTATATCCTTCCAGGGTTTCTTTATGAAAATAAAGCAAAGAAGAACATGTATATTCCTATTTTCTCTTCTTTCGTATAGCATACTATATATATTAATATATTCTTCATCTCATTTTTTTTTCACTTGACAGTATATCCTGGAGGTCTTCCTACAACTGTAAATCTTCTCGTACAGGTATAGAGAGAGTACGTACAAATGCTTTTGTACCTAGTACTTAATTTGTGTCATGTTTCTTAACATCCACGTGCCAGGGTTTATTTGACTAACTCCTTATAGAAGATCACTTTTTTTTCTTTTCTATCTTTTGCTACTACAAACAAGGCCATGCAATAATATTTTAAATGTCAGTAGACATAGCCATGTTGCCTTGCAAAGGGGCTGCACAGTTTTCATGCCGACCTGGGTGCATTTTAAAGGAGCCAAAACAGAGCAGACATTTGCACCGTATTGTCCATCAAGATCAGACTGTTTGTGCTTGCCAGAACATGACATGCTTCGTCTTGTGTCCTTGCTTTTCTCGTTATTGAAACCTCCCTTTCTGCATTCTGTCTGTCTAGCTAATATCTTCCTCTAAGTTTCACCTTGAAATTCTGTGATGTCATCTCCAGCCCTGTTAGGTGGAGTTGACCCTTCCTCCTGGGTGCCACCACAGAAGCTGGCCCATACACATCTCTACTTTCGCTCTCGCTCACATTGTTCATTTTCTTTCTGTACCAGTCTTGTCTCACCTCCCTCCTTCACTGCGGACTTCTTGAAGGAAAAGACTGTATCTTTATTCATCTTTGTATTCCCAAAGCCCAAGACAGTGCCTGTTTCAGAGTAGCTTCTTCATAATGTTGGCTGAATGAATAAATTAACAAATAAATGATCACTAAAAACAGAGATGAACCGACCAAATTGAATTTGGACAATGAGTCCATGGGTGTGTTTACCCACTAGTTTACCAATCATGCAGATGAGCTTATCTGCGTCTGCTGATGGAATTTCGACGTAATTTGCATGCTGGAGGGGGAGGCTGCCAATTCACAGAGGATTCTTCCAGGCATTTGTCATTCATTATAGAACATAAGCTTGCATTGGAGTTTATGCAGCACAGCGCCAGCCAATTAGAGGAGATTGTAGCTTTGGAAACAAACATCTGCTTGATGCTGGGTAAATAATATTTAGAGTCTGGTGTTTTATGCCTGTCTCTGTGATTAATTTGAATCCCATATAATTTTGTATGGGACCATGTAGGACTCACAGAGATCATTCCTGTAACCCAAGTTACAGCTACAAAAGCCACATGCGTCATTTCCCACAAAATTGGCCTCATGTACCAGGAGACACTCTCTGGTTGGAATGACACCTGGGACTAGAGAAAAGACTCTATACAGGGGTAGCCACCTTGCATAAAGGATAATAGGGAAGGACACCTGTCTCCAAAATCTGTCGTGAATAACCCTTGTGTAGAAAACTCATGGAGTATTGGGAAAACATGAATGTCTTCTCTAGGCCTTTGCTAATTTGTTCTCCTCTTTCCAGGGGCAAGGAGGTTAAAAGAAATGCAGTGAGGATAGTGCCATTTATCACATTTCTACTTTATGGCAGGTTCTGTCCCAGATGCTTTTCTCACACTTTTCCTATTTGAAACTTATATTACTATGGGGTCGGTATCATTCATTCCTATTTTACAAATAACAAACTGGGTAGGAAGGACTTATCCTGGGCTCCCAGCTAGCAGGTGGCAGTGCTGGGAGTTAAAGCCAACCTGCCAAAGCCTGTGCTCTTCCCAGGATGCTACCCTACCTTCCCAGAGGATGTGGCCAAGGGTATTCGACAGAGCCATTGGCTGCGGCACAGCTCGGATTCTCTGCAGACAGTGCTGGGAGGATTGGCTGCGAACGCTGCCTCCTTTGCTTCCAAATGAAATAATCAAATGCACTGGCATCCTCGCCCGTGGGGTTCTTAAGAACATCATCCAAATGCTTTTTGTGGAAAGATGAGGGACCTGGTGAAGAGCCCGCTGTGGGTGGGTTTGGGCAGACGGCAAATGATAGCCAGGTGGTCAAGAATGAAAAATATTTGCTAAGCTAATAATACTGCCTAGTTCCATAGCTATCATCAGAATTAAACAAACTACTAGACCACTGGGTTTCAACAGAATCACCTATGATGCTTTTAAAAATATGCATGTCTGGTCACCACCCACAGATATTCTGATCCCATGAGTATTTTAAACAAGCTTTGATGCTATTCTGATGCACAGTCAGATTTCGGAATCTGTGATCTAGTCTATGGATTATTTGAGTCATCAGACCTTGAATAAGAATTGCTTTCTTTGGACACATCTTTTCTTTATCACATCAAATCAATCTCTCTCTCTCCTCCCTCCCCCCTTTTCCTCTCCCTCTTTCCCTAGCAGTCAGAAATTCTTAAAAGCTTTTTGCCACTAAACCATCTGCTGGAGAAATCTCCCACTAGGCTTCAAATGCCAAACCTTTCCAAGTAGCAATTTTCTTTATTATTTTGGGGGAAAAGAATGCATTACATTTCTTCCCTATGAAAGAACTTTAAAAATAAAAATGTTCATTATGGACCAGTAGCAGTTGCTTATATATATATATATATATATATATATATATATATATTAAAAGAAATAGCTTTATTAGACATGCGTTTTGTGAGTTTATTCAGGTTTCCCTCGCAGGTTTGATTTCAGCCTCTAGGAGAGGAAGTGAGGCTGATTATGGTGCCAAGATGCTTTGGCGGGCAGGAATGACATATAGAAAAGAAACCAATTTGGCTTAAAGAATAGCCGGATACTTTATTGGCTTCCTGAGGCCCACAAGCTTTATGCGAGCAGAGAATACAATAGTTCAAGGCTCGTTTGAAGGTTTGTATGGGCTGTATCCTTGTCACACTGCATCGTCCCCTCCCAGTTCAAAACCTTCCTCTATTAGCATCAAAACCCACATCCTGTTACAGGTAACAGGACTGTTGTTAAGAGACTTGGAAAGAATAAATCTGAAAATGTTTCCCTTGTCTCCATTTGGAGATGGCTTTCCTTAAGAGTCTGTTTAGATGATCTTCTAATCTAAGCATTTGAAAGCACTTGGTATGGCAGGTGGCTAGCTAAGCACCAAACATTCAGGATCCCCTTTCTATGGCACTAAGCTGCTGCTGAGAGGCAACCTCAGAGCCGGGGACCACACTGCCCAGCTCCCCTTGCATCAGTGTGTGGCCATGTGATTAGTCCTTCCTATGGGACACGAACAGAAGTGATATGTGTTACTTCTGGGTCAGGTTTTTTTTTTTTTTTTTAAAGAAGTGGATGCCTTCTCCATTTCTTCCTCCTTCCCTGCGGGCTGAGTGCAGATAATTCCAAAGCTCGAGGGGAAGAGTGGAACCATAATATGGAAAGGGCCTGGGCCCCTGAATCACTGCATGGAAGAAAGTTGCCTGCTGACCAGATAGATACACCCTGTCTGTGCTTTGTGTGAGTGAGAAATAAACTCTCGTTGTGCTCAACCACTGGGATCTGGGGATTTGTTTATGACACTGGTGTGAATTACCCTCATTAATCATACACTGGCTAGTCATCAGGGTACTGGAGATCTTCATCTGACTTTGACCTCCTGACATGGGGATGCCAACAAGAGCGGTAATGCCTTCTGATATCTGGCATGAAACATAGGGGGTAGGTAGAGAATTCTTGTCCTGTGATAAACATTCTAGGAGAATAGAGAATGACATTTGTCACCAGATAACAGTGTGAGTAGATAAAGATATTAAGAATGAGAGAGGTCTGTAGAAGCAACACCCATGGGGACAGACAGACAGACAGACAGACAGACAAATGAGGTCTGCCCTTTAAGAGGGGAGGAATATTTCTCACCCCTGCTTTGTTGAAGCTTCCTATCCTATAACAGGCTTTGTGTCCTCCACAGCACTAACCGTGCAAGGACGGTTGTGGCAGTAACGAGGGAAGAGGATCACTTTGCAAATAATGTGAATCAATAGCAATAAATATCCTTGAAAGTCTACCACCAACCAGGCAGTAGGCCAGGTACAGTGAGGATGAAAACTACTGCCAAATTGTATGTCTTCAGTGTGCTTACAAAGCAGTCAGGGTGACAGAACATGATGATAAGAAATATTAAGGAACAGAGACTAAGTGTAAAATGAGTGGTAAGGGAGCTGACACAGGCCTTTAGCAAGGAGCAGCCACACTTGGGCGTGTGACAAAGGATCAGGCTGAGAGTCCTGGGTAGAAATCCCAATTCGGCAGCTTACATCTGGGTGAAATGCAAATGATAATCATTTCTCAAATTTGGGTAGGCCTATATGAGACGGTCTTTTATGTAAATGTCATTTGACACGTGAGTCATGACCACAATGAAAATTGCAAACCAGAGTTCTAAAATTCTTCCAGCAGGGTAGTCATTATGCAATTGATTGGAGCCAGCACGATGCTAAAAAAAAAAAAAAAAAAAAAGAAAGTATTACTTTTTTGGGGGAGAACAATAGATATTTAAAAAATTCACAATTTTCCTAGCCTGTGAGCTGACCAATCAGAATGGACACTGGTCTTGGGGATAGGGTGGAGAATCTGGAAGCTCCCTGCTGTCCTTGGCATTCACCGTTTACATGCTAGATCATGGGTAGATTGGGGAGGGTTCTTGTGGGACTTGGGACAGTGGTAGCTTTTTCTAGCTAGTAAAGAAGTATTTTATTATATAACAATCCACGCTGGTCAGACATGCTGCATATTAGCCAAACATCAATCCAGTATAGAATCTGCTGTGGTCTGAATGTTTGTGTTCCCTCCCCCCAAATTCATTTTTTTGAGACAGGATCTTGCTCTGTCACCTGGGGCTAGAGGGCAGTGGCATCATCATAGCTCACTGCAATCTCAAAATCCTGGGCTCAAGTGACTCTCCTGCCTCAGCCTCCTGAGTAGTTGGGACCACACGTGCACACCATCACACCCAGATAATTTTTCTATTTTTGTAGAGATGAGATCTTGCTCTTGCTCAGGCTGGTCTCGAACTCCTGGCCTCAAGTGATCCTCCTGCCTTGGCCTCCCGCAATTCTAGGATTACAGGTGTGAGCCATTGTGTGCCCAGCCCCAAATTCATATGTTGAAACATAATCCTCAATGTGACAGTATTAAGAGGTGGGATCTTTAGGAGGTGATTAGGTCATGAAGACAGAGACCTCATGAATGGGATTAGTGCCCTCAGAAAAAAAGCCCAAGGAAGCTGACTTGTGCTTTCCATCATATGAGGACACCATTAGAAGGTGCTGTCTGTGAGGAACGAGTTCTCACCAGGTTAAGAACCTACCAGCCCCTTGATCTTGGACTTCCCAGCCTCTAGGATTGTGAGAAACAAAAATGCTTGTTGTTTATAAGCCACCAAGTTTCTGGTATTTTTGTTATAGCAGCCAAACAGACTAAGACAGGATTATTATAAAAAGGAAAATACTAGTGAGGAAGTAAAATCTCACTATGATCCACCTCTCAGAGATGACTATTGCTAACAGTTTAGAGTATATTTTTCCAGACTTTAAAAGTTTCCTGTGCAAACATAAACAAGATCAGACTATGCATTCTGTACTGCAAGCTGTCCTTTCCTCCCCTCTCAGAAAAGAGTATATTGTGAACATTATGCTCTGTGAGCACATAAAGAATGACTTTATGCTCTTGCTTTTTCTTTTATCTTCTAATTAGAAATTTTGGACTTAAATCAATACCATTACTGAAGTGTTTTTACGCACTGTCGAGCCGCGTCCTTACACCCTGGCTGCATTTGAAGTGTATATTGTTCTTTGGTGTTTCTGAAACTACACCAAGAGTCCTCTCCTGAAGCTACTCTTCCCCCCAAGATCTTCCCTGGCCATTTTCCCAGGCTCTCTCACCCTATATCCTGCCGGGCTCCTTCTAGCCTTACTGCTGAGTGAGCTTTAGCCTTTGGAAGCGTCCATGGTGTGTTATTAATTTCTCAGTTCTCTTTTGCCTCTCTCTCTCCCTTCCTGCTTTCATTGGAGTTGTGTTCTCTCCTCTGTACTCTGTCGGCTGCTGGAAAGGTCCTCACTTGCTTCCCGCCCCTACTGCTCCTAAGGCTGGTCGTGTGGTGGGAAACTTTACATTCCAGATTGTGTTGTTTGGGTTCCAAACTGTAGGTAAGGAAAGCCAGGGAGTGTCTGGGGACACCAAAGTAGTGTCTGGGGAGTTCAGTGAGGCAGTAAGGGACAGGATGGAAGGCAGGGTGCCTGGGAGGCTGATTTAAACCTGGATTTGGGGGGAGGGCAGCAGTGGGAGCTGTCCTAGGTGCTACCCAGTGAGTGCTGAAACAGCCCTGGATGAACGATGTATCACTTCGCAGGTTGTGTCAACAACAGCTGTGGCATCATCCAAGCAAGACTCACAGGATGGAAAATTATCTTTTCATGCAGTGTCTTCTTTACATAAGGAGAGTCAGAACAAATAAATGACCAGTATAGGAGGCTGGCTGAGTTTTCTTTCTGGACATATCCTCTTGAATGTCTTGCAGTCATCTCAAATGTCTAGAAGTGAATTCATCACCCTTGTCAAACCTGCTCCCTCTCCACTTTTTCCCAGTCTCCAAATGACACCCTTGTCCTTAAAAGGTGGACTCAGTCTTCATTCGGCCTTCTCTCTCACTGGCCTCACACAGTGTCTCACCAAGTTTTGTTGCACTTACCAAAAACTTAACTAGATACCATCTTCTTCATTTCCAACGACTCTAGCCACCACCATCCTTTCTCTCAATTGGACCACTGCAGTAGACAGTAATTCATCTATTCCCCTGTTTTCGTATTTCCTACCATCTATCTACACACAGCCACCAGAATTATCTGTTAAATTTACAAATCTAATCAGGTCACTCCTTTGCTTAAAGCTTTAAATGACTTTTCCCTGCCTTCAGGATAAGAAATGAGGTATCAGGTACCATAGATCTGGTATCTTTATTTTATACCAATATCTTCCTTGTCCTACAGTTCTTTCTTTTCTTCAAAACAGACATGCTCTCTCCTGACTCAGGGCCTGTTCTCACGCTATTCCTTCTGCCTGGAATGATTCACCAGGCCCCACCTTCACCCAGCTAACACTTGCTTCATCTCTTAGCTCAGATATCACTTATTCCAGGAGACCTCATATTCATTTAGCTCTACTTATTATATGTTCCTGAAGCACTCTGTGCATCTTTCCAATAGCCAGTGAACTTATTCTAAGTTTGTTTTCCCATCTGGACTTTGTTTCATCTTTTTTGTTTGAACCTGCATCTTTTTTGTTTACCACTGTATCACCTAAAACCATGCCTGGCAATAGCAGATGCTTAGTAGATATTTGTTGAATAAATAACCAGAAGTCCAAGGACCCAGACTAGGTAGGGCCTGAGCTGAACCCTAGGGCCCAGGTCCTGTTTGTCCACAAACCTGAAGTGACCTGGGGGCTGGGGCAAGGGTTACAAGTTTACAACAGCTGTGTGTTGCAGAGAAAAGGCCAGCAGATGTTCTGATTGCTTCTAGATGTTGCTGGTAGGGTGGTGGGCTGTGTCATATGGAGCTGCCAGCCAGGGCCTGCCGTGTCAGGAGGCCTTGGGGGAAGGAGCAGATCTCAAGCTACAGCAGATGGTAAGTGCTGTCTTTAGTCTTTAACATTTAAGGAAAAGAACTGGGAATAGACATTCGGCTCAGTAGCAGTTATGATGCATTTAAATAAGCCTTGCAAATCATTTACAGAATGCATATGCCTCCAAATTCTTCATTGCTCATGGATTTTTTAGGAGCTTCCTCTCGTCCATCTTTGCAGCCTTGGTGTGTAGTAGAGTGTGTGGCATGGGTGAGCCCGTGGAGTGGGGGCCACGTGTGCTCAGCCACACTGGCGCTCCACTGGCCACGGGGCATTGACCCTCTTCACATAGGGGATAAGAGTGTTAATATATGAATTTTTGGGTGACACAGACCTTTAGTCCATAGCATGCCCTATCATATTTTCCTGGAGAATCATAGTTTCTGAACAAGAAAAGTAGGGCTTGGGTATTTCAGTTAGCTTCCATTTGAAAAGGGGGATAAGAATACCTGCTTCACTGGATTATTGTAAAGATGAAATGAAATCACACATATGTAATAGAGCGCCCCAGCCTATGCCCAACCCATGGTTATGTTCATGAGCCTTGCAGTCACAGTCCTGGGCTTAAATCTTGGCTCTGCCACTTACTAGCTCTGTGAACTTGACAACTTATTTAACTTTTCTGAGACTCAGTGTCCTCACAGGGAAAATGATGCTAAATAACTGTGTAGCTCACAGAGTTGATATATAGGGTTAAATGCAATATGCATATGAAATGCCTTGCCACATAGTAAGCACTCGATCAAAAGATAGTAATTGTTATCATCATCATTATAATTGGACAGAGAGGGTGATAAAAGGGGTATCCTGGCTGTCTGAAGTTATCTCAGAAAACGTGGGATTTGGTGGGTATTTAGAGAGACTTCTTGTCCTCCCAGCTGTTCAAGATAAAGAGTCTGGAGTTGTCCTTGAATCTTCTGTTTTTCTCACTCCCCTACAACCAGTCCATGCAGTGTTCCTGTGCCACCACCTTGAAGATCTATTTAAAATCTAGCTACTTCTTACCCGCTCCACTGCTCCCATCTTGTCTGAGCCAAGGCCAGCACTCTCTCTTGGAAGCTGCTACAGCTCTTAGCTTAGTCTTCCTGCCTCCCCATCCTTGGTTCTGCAGTCTTCTTTCAACAGGGTCGCTAGAAAGATCTTGGCAAAACCACCAGTCATTCATGTCTCTTCTCTGCTCAAAACCCTCCAACAGTTCTCATCTGTGCCAGAGTAAAAGCAAAGTCATCCCAGTGACCTAGGGGGCCCCTGTGCTCTGCTCCCTCCCGGATTCCTCTCTCTTTCCACCTTCTACCACTCTCCCCCTCACTCAATCTGTTTCAGCCACACTCGTTTATTTGCTGTCTCTTGAAAATACCAGGCACATTTTTACCCTGAGGACTTTGCACTGGCTGTTCCTTCTGCCCAGAATGCTCTCCTAGACATGTGCATGGCTCCTTCCCTCTCCTCCTTCAAGTCTCTGCTCCAATGTCACCTTCTGCATGACCACGCTGTCTCAACAGCCATAGGCAGCCCCTGCATCATTGGCAATTCCCCCATCTCCTGTGCTTTTTCTTGGCATGTGTCCCATCCAACATGACATATGCTTTACTTATTTATTATGTTTATTGCTTATTGCTAATCTCCCCCTACTAGAACATAAGCTCCATAAAGGCAGGGATCTTGGTTTTGTTCACTGTTCTGCCTCCAGTGCCTAGAACAATGCCTGGCACACAGTAAGCCCTCACTAAATATTTATTAAAGGCGAGAATGGACCAAAGGGAAGGAAAAACCTCAAAGATCTAGGAGGCAACTTATAAATAAGAAAAACTTACAGGGCCTGGAATGTATTTAAACATTAAACCATTTTTTTTCTTTCAACTTAAAAATGTGGTTTTATGTTTCAGATTACGCTCCAAATATAAAAATTCTAATGATGAACAAAATGATCTGGCAACATTGGTCTCTTATTCGCTCACAGCAACTGTGAGCAGAGTAGAGAAAGCGTTGCCTCCTCTAGAGCAGGTGGACCCTCTCCCGTTTGCCGTGGTGCCAACCCAGCCCGCTCTTCTTTTAGGGGTGGGGACCCTGTGGCCCCTCAAGGCCACCTGTGGCCCTCCAGATACCCAAATGCAGCCCCTTGGTCAAATCCAAATGTCACAGAACAAATCCCTGGGTTTGCTTCCTTTGAAACCCTTTGCTAGCAACCACAGAGCCTGTGCTCACATTTGCAAGGAAGGAGCTGCGTCCCCGGGAGACAAATCTCCCCCTCAGCCCGGGCTCTCTCTTCCTGTTTTCAGTAATTAGATACTGGAGTGATCGACCACAAAAGATCAGTTCTCAATCACTCCTGAACACATAAAAATATCAGGAGTACATGAAATAAAAATGTTACGTGCTGGGAACATCGATCAGAAGGGTGATGTTTATGTAGCATTGTTAATTGGATTTCTACAATGAGACACGCAGTGGGTTGGGGTTTATCTGATGAAATGTAGGCTGTGACGCCAACTCCTGGCAACGACACAGGGTGGCTTCAAGGTCAGGGAACTCGGCAGCCTTCTGACCAACAGGCTGGGGAGGTCTTTGAGAGCGCTCGTGGTCCAAACTTCTTATCGGTGAGCTGTATGGAGAACACCATCTCTCAGATTTATCCACAATATTAATGAATGCCGTGTTGGAGATAATGACCTATATCTGGACTTGCACAGAGCTCTGAAAAGACTTCTACGAATTGTGTTTTATCTCAAGTACTGCAGCATGCGGCATCCAACATTACCATTGATATCATCTATTGAGAACTCCTTCCCAGGTTCTTTATTAAGGTTTAATTAAATTTTATGTCTTATCAATTAGGATTAATCTACATTTAGTCTGAATTAGAGGGAGCCAATTATAAATAACACCACTTCTCATTTATTCCTGAATACAAAATGAAGGTTTTTAAACTTCTTTTGGAAAAAAAAAAAACATAGCCCTCCACCCTCCACCCAGAACCAAATGTGCACTTTTAAAGAGTTTTATACCCAGGAGAACAAAAGTTCTGTTACAACAAAGTGAAAAGATGAGAATTCCCAAAGGAAGGTTCTATGGACAGAAATGGGGGTAGTGAGGGAAAGGAGAGGTAGTTTCTGTTATGATGTGGGTAGTTGGAGCAAAGAGATTTCCAACGTTAAAGTTTTAACGTGGAGCAATGGCAGAGAGAGAAACTGAGAATTCTCTACAATTATTACAATGTCTCTGTGTCTTGAAGAAACCAGACCAGCTAGTGCTCTGTGGTCATGTTTAGTGCTGTTCATTAAATATTTTCACTTTTCTTATCTCTGGCCACAAGTAGGATTACACTCCTCCCTTCTGCCTACCTTGAAGTTGGATATGGACATGGGCATGGGATTGTTTGGTCTAATGGAATGCAAGAAGCAGCAATGGTTTTCAGTTCCATACAGCACCTTGAAGTGCTAGAGTGCAATGGGCCATGATTTCTTCTTCCTGCTGTAGCAGATCATGGAAATGTCATTCAGACAAAACCCCCATTAGCTTAGATGAGCAGAGTCCTCCCTGCCAAGCTTCATTGGTCCTATAGCTTATTGTGTCAAGCCTTTGAGATATGGAGGTTTTTGTTGCTGCAGCATAACATAGCTAATGCTGCCTGTTAGACCCTCTTTAAGCTTTGGATTCTTCTAAGCTTTGGTACCTACATCATTGAGTTGTTTATATGAGGAAAAATAATGAAATAATCCACAACAAGTGTTTCATTCAGTGTCTGGTACCCAGCAAATACTGACTAAATGTCAGTGCTTGCTAGTATTGTTGTAGTCGGGGATGTCTATATATTATGCCTAAATGACACTATTTGGGATATTCTGATAGTATGTTCAAAATTTATTTAAACTCCTGGTGTTTTGGTCTCTTGCCTGCTCACCAAGGTAGAACATAAGTTTCACATTCGGCACTTTTGATTCCTCTCATTCTGCTAAAGGGTTTACAAAACCTTATAACACAGAGTCCCACTTACTCTGTCCTTTCTCTTACAACACTATCTAATAATCCCATAATACATAGCTTAAGGAAGGGCAAAAACTAACTTTATTACACTAGCCTATTTAGGGAGGTGCTGTGTTTTCAAATGAGCATTGGGAGACCCAGCCTGCGTAGGCCACCCTCTGGCACACTGGTGGATTCAGGGACCCCTTTTTCACAAATATCCAGCAGCTGTAAGGGGATCTGTGATTTGTAGCTTGGGCCTCTGTGCATATTTTGGCTCGGCCCTGATATAAGTGTGTCAAGCCAATGTTCAGGGTGTAGAGACTCAAATTCTTTTGGTGACCAACGTAACAGGGGTGCACTGAGGACTCTTCCTACGAGCTTGACGTGTTATTGCGCCGGAAGACCTCTAGGGGTTGCCACGTGGTAGGAAACCTGGGGACATCCGGGAACAAAGATGAGACCAGATCAAATATTACGTAGACCCAGGGTTTATAAAGTCCAGAGAGTTACTAAGGTCTTGTTCCAGAATCAGGGTGTGTTCTGTGCAAACTCACTGGAGTCAGGGAGGTTTTGGTTGCAAGTGACAGAAATCCAGCACAAGCCCAAAAGGAAATTTATTAGCTCTTACAACCTGAAAATACAATGGCTTAAGCTTCAAGTGTAGCTGTAGATAGGCGTTTAAATGATGTCATTAGTTCTTTCACTCTCCCGACCTGACTTGTTTTCTCTGTATTGATTTTCTCTGTATCAGACTCTATCCATGGTGGCAAGAATGGCACTGGCACTGCTGGGCTGCCATTGCTCTTATACCAGTGGTCCCAGCCAAAGGAATGTGCCAGTTTTTTTTTATTGTCCCGGGAAAAGTGCTGGGGAGGGCTCCGGGGCTAATTTTTCTAATCTACAAAGGACTTCTACAAATTATAAAAGATTTAAAAAAATCCAATAAAGAAATAGGCAAAGGACAGGAGGAGGCAATTTTCAGAAGAGGAAATGCAAATACCCAATAAGCAAATTAAATTATGCTCATTCTTATGGGGGAAGGGGAACTACAAATAAAAATGACAATAAATCACTTGAGAAATTCATCAGTTTGGCCAAAATTGAAATGATTCATAATCATGGTTTGTGATTGTATGGGGGGAATAAGGACTCTCATATTTTGCTGCTATAAGTAAGAATTGCTTTAACCATTCCAAAAAAAAAAAAATGTCTGGAAGTAGCTACTGAAATTCAAAATACACTCACTCTTTGACCCAGCCATTTCACTTTTGGCAGGCAGTAAGAAAAGTACCAATTCCATAGAAAAATGATATGATACTTGCACTTGCAAAGATCTGGAAACAAAATGAATGTCCAAAAGTAGGCAATTATTGAATAAATTATATTATTTCATATTGTAGAATTTTATGCAGCTATTGTAAAAAATCATATATGGAGGGATACCTATACTCTCTTGTTAAGTAAAAAAGAACATTTGTATAGTATAATTACATTTTTGAAAAAAAAAGAAGAAAATTTTTCATGTGACTTTTCATGTATGAATGTTTGTATGAGCCCAGGAAAAACATGGAAACATACATACTGAATAGTTGACATTAGTTACTTTGAAGGGAAGGGGGCACGTGACATATATTGCTACTACAGTCTGAAAGAAACAATGGTGATATAGCACCTCTTGTATTTTCCTGGACAGAGCTGGAACGCATTCTACTAAGTGAAATATCCCAAGAATGGAAAAACAAGCACCACATGGACTCACCAGCAAATTGGTATTAACAGATCAACACCTAAGTGGACATCTAGGAATAACATTTATCGGGTGTCAGGCAGGTAGCAGTGGGGAGGAGGGGATGGGTATATACAAACACAATGAGTGGGATGTGCAACGTTGGGGGATGGTCACGCTTGAAGCTCTGACTCGAGGGGGAAGGGGGGGCATGGGCAATATACGTAACCTTAACACTTGTACCCCCATAATACGCTGAAATAAAAAATAAAGAAGGACATACTGCACTTGTCTCCTCAAACGATGGACAGGTACAGAGTGACATCCTAAATCTCGGGGTAGACATAGGGATGTCCTGCACGTCTTGTCCAGGGTCTGGTCTGTTTCCTAGGAAGTCGGCGAGAGCCCCTGTTGGCCAGTTTAGCTGTGCTGTGTGTGGCGCTGTGCTCTGACGTCAAGGGGGTGGGATCCTCATTGACCTTGGTCGCGCTGGGCCTCCCACCGGAAGTACAGCACGCTGGACGCATCCGGGGAGAGGGGTGTATCTTACATGTCAGCAAACATGATACACGCGGTGCCCGGACTTGGTAGTTCTCTTGAGGACGGTGAGAGGATGAGGTCAGGGTGCGGGTTTCCAAAAGGCCTTTGCTGTGCATTAGGTCGAGCCTTGCGATTTCACTTGGTTGTGCGGGGGCTCCTATCGTTGATGGATGTGCATAGCCACATATCCATGCGTGGAGGCGTACTATCCCAACTGTGAATTGAGCTACAGAGCAGATGACTCTGACTCTGCTTCTTTCCCCTTTTATTTCATGGTTATTATTTTAACTTCTGAGCTAGAACGAGGGAGTCGATGTTGTTTCTCCCGATCACCGGGGTTTATGTTTGTGCCAGGACCACCTAGCACATCCATGGAGCATGTGTGTGGAGTGTCGGCCACCACGCGAGACACATCCTCAGTGCTGCTGTCGTGGTCCATGCTTTTCACATTTATACCGAATAGCCATTCCTATATGGAAATGGGGGGAAAAAAGAACAATCTCCTAAGAGATTATGGAGTCAAAGAGAAAATAAAATTTACAACCAAAAAGAATAATGAGAATGTGAAAATAATACATATGAAGACTTATAGGATATATATAGCCAAAGCCCTTCAATTGTTTTGATTGTTGATAGAAGAATAAATGAAGCTATCTTGAAAACCAAGGAGTGAGAAAATTAGCAAAACATTTTAAGGAACTCAAGACAAATAAATCTTTTAAAGAACAAAGCAGAAATTTATGGATTCAAAAATAGAAAAGCTCGAGATGTGATAAATGCATCCAAAAGGTGTCTCTTGGAAGAAAACTAATAATATAGATAAATCTCTGGCAAATTGATTGAAGAGGGAAAAAACAAAACAAATAAAATTATAAATGATGAAGTGCTCTAAAAGGCATGTGAGAGATTAAAATACCGAGATATTGTCATGTACAACTTTTTGTAAAGAAATAAAAAATCTCAATGATGAAGATATTTTAAAATAAAATACGAATGACAGAAATTGACTTACAAAAATTAATGTCTGAATAAAAAATAAATATATAAAAATACAAAAGTTAAAGTATTACTAAATGGTAGTTTTAAAATAGCCTCCTTGAACAAAGATTTTTCTAATGCGTTTTTTTCTTCCAATTTTCCAGTAACAGATTTATTCCTATATTCAACTAACGGTTCCAGATTGTAGAAAAGCATGGAAAACCTTTAAATTCATTTAATGAGGATGGTACAACCCTGAAATTCAATCTTGAAGAATATAGTGGGGAAAAAAAAACAGAGAGAGAAAAGAAGACCAAAGCACTAGATGAAAAACTATAAATAAAATAATAGCAAACGGAGTTCAATAATACATTAATAGAATCATTCACCATGACCAAGTAGGATTTAGCCTAGGAATGCAAAGACTTCTGTTTTTCAGATCATTTTATTAAAAAAGAAATAAAATAAAATTTTACAGATTCACAGAGTCACCCTTTTTGTATCCCTCCTGGGTTTCATCTTTCCTTCCCTTTCTCTTTCCCTCTCCTACAGCCTACAAAACCCAGAGATAACAACTATGTCAAAGTTGGTATTTATCCTTCCAATCTGTTTTGTATCCCTACCACTTTTACAAGTATCCATAAATTCTTACCTGCTTATTATTTTGTATGCCCTTAAAATTTCATAACTGGTTTTATTCTAAACGTGTCCCTGTGGCATTTGCTTTTGTTCTCTAGGCATTCTGTTTTTGAGATTATCCATGTTAATGCAAGTAAGATCTAGCTCAAGGCCGGGCGCGGTGGCTCACGCCTGTAATCCTAGCACTCTGGGAGGCCAAGGCGGGCGGATTGCTCGAGGTCAGGAGTTCAAAACCAGCCTGAGCAAGACCCCGTCTCTACCAAAATATAGAAAGAAATTAATTGACTAACTAAAAATATATATACAAAAAAAATTAGCCGGGCATGGTGGCGCATGCCTGTAGTCCCAGCTACTAGGGAGGCTGAGGCAGTAGGATCGCTGTGCCCAGGAGATTGAGGTTGCTGTGAGCCAGGCTGACGCCACGGCACTCACTCTAGCCTGGGCAAGAAAGTGAGACTCTGTCTCAAAAAAAAAAAAAAAAAAGATCTAGCTCATTCGTTGGATAAATGTACGATACTTTACTTATCTACTATTTTTTTACACATGGACACTGTTATGGACTAAATGTTTACGATGCCCCCATTCATATGTTGCAATGAATCCTGATCCCCAATGTGACAGTATTAGGAGGTAGGGCCCTTGGGAGGTGATTGCATCACAAGAGTGCAGCCCCATGAATGGGATTAGTGCCCTTATAAAAGCAATCCTGGGGAGCTCTTGTGCCCTCTTTCCCCCATGTGAGGATACCCCCAGAAGGTGGCAATTCAGAAGACGCTCCTCGCCAGAATCTGACCATGCTGGCACCCTGACCTTGGACTTCCCAGTCTCCAGAACTATAAGAAATAAATTTCTGTTGTTTATAACCCACCCAGTGTATGGTGTTTTGTTATAGCATCCCTAACTAAGACAGAAATTTCAGTTGTTTCAGTTTTTTGGTGGCTACTATAAACAATGCTACAATCAACATGGCGTGCATCTCCCCACATGCATGTGTGAGAGAGGATGTAGCAGTCTATGGTCCTGTCGGCACAGTGGGGCAGTTCTGTCTTCAACATCCTTCTAACGTTTGTGTGGGATGGGAGATTTTATTTCCATCTTTATTTGCATTTCCCTGATTACCAGTGAGGTGGAGATTTTTTTCCAGTGTTCGTTGATCAGGAGTGTTTCCTTTTTCCTGAATCGTGTGTCTATGTTCTTTGTCTAATTTATACTAGATTAAAAAAATCCTTTTCCTATTGATTTGTAGAATTTCTTTATATTTTCTGAATGCTGATTCACAATAATTTAATAATAGGAAATCTATTAATATATGACATCACAGAAAGACATAAAAATTATTCCATCTGATTAAGTCAATAAATAACAAAAGGCATTCAATAGACTTGATATTCCTTCCTGAAAAAAAGCTCTTTGAAAATTTGGAATAGAAGCATGATAAAAGCATTTCTTTTAAACCAAAGTATGCATCAGACTTGCAGATGAAATATCAGATACATTTCCATTAAAGACAAGGATGCTCATTGCTATGGGCTGAATCGTGTTCTCCCAAAATTCTTACGTTGAAGTCCTAACTTCAAGTGCTTCCATAGGACTGCAGATAGTGTCTTTGAAGAGGTAATTAAGTTCAAATGAAGTCATTAGAGTGGGCACTAATCCTATATGCCGATGTTCTTACAAGAAGAAGGAATTAGGGCACAGATATGTACAGAGAGAAGACCGTGTGGAGACACAGAGAAACAATGGCCACCTATAATCCAAGGAGAGAAGCATCAAAAGAAACCAACTCTGCTGACACCTTGACCTTAAACTTCCAACCTCTAGAACCATGAGAAAAATAAATTCCTATTGTGTAAGCCTTCTAGTCTGTAGTATTTTGTTAGGTAGCCCTAGCAAACTGATATACTCACCTTTACCAAAATAAGTATGTTGTGAAATTTTTGGCCAGTGACTATATGGCATAACTGAGAAATAAGAGATACAATTACGAGAAAAAAAAGAGACCAATGTATCATTTATAAGTGACATAATTATATGATAAGAACCATAACAACCTCAATAGGACAGTTGAAGAAAGAGGTCAGATATGAGATAAACATCTGAAAATCAGTAACAAATCAGAGAACTATTATTAAAAGTCTGATTTGCAATAGCAATGAAAAAAGTAAAATAACCAGACTGTTTGCAACGTGAAATGTACATAAAGAAAACTATAAAAATTTACTAAGGCAATACAGATGGTTTAAATAAATAAAGAGATGTTTCAATTGGCTGCATCGGACCCTAAAGAGTTTAGAGATCTAAATTCTCCCCAAATTAGCTGACAGACTTAACACGTGGAATTTACATTTTTAGTAGCTTAATAAAATAATTCTATGGTTCAATTAGATAGTTTGAGAAAGATGGAAACACCAGATATAATAACTTATTATAAAGCTCTAACAATTAAAATAGGGTGACATGGCTCAAAAATTTAGAACCAGGGTAAATGGAACAGATTTCCAACCATGTGTTACCTTTACCAATCAGTAAAGGTAGTAAGTGGAAAATAAATGAGGCAAATACAATATATTAAAAATCAAAAAGTACATAGAAGCTGTAGCAAAAGAGCAGCACAGAGCAAGTAAGGCCAGGATAGATTGTGAGTACAGTTGCTGGCCAGTTAGAGGGACCTGCAGGGCCTGCCTTGGATCCTCCCCTTTGCATCTATTCCTGTTGGCTTTGGGACAGGGATGCAGAATGCTCATAACCCCCCTAGACATTCCACCCTTACTTGTCTTCCCCCTGGCTGTGCAGAGAGTTTCTTTAAGGCTCCCCTGCCCCAATGGAAAGGCTTCATATCATAGAAATCACACTTGGGATGAGTGTTTCATAGAACTCATACAGGTCAGGACTCTGGTTGGCCACACACAACATCCACCCTCCTCGAGAAATCATGCGTGGGGTGAGTCCTCCCCGGATGAGTCCTCCCCAGATGAGTCCTCCCCAGATGAGTCCTCCCTGGATGAGTCCTCCAGGTCATTCTCTGAGGTTGTCAAACTGGTCTTGGAGGGGTCCAGCTTGTTGTTGTCCAGGCTTCATCTCCCCTACCCCCAGCACCAGAGCAGGCTGAGAAGGAAGGCTGGCAAGGGCGTTTGCGGGCTAGCTGTGGGAGTGGGCGGCATCTGGGAAGTGGAAGGGAGTCTCGTCCAACAATCTGGCACAGGTCTCTAACTTGTGAGTGGGGTGGATGGTATGGAAATGGCCTGCGGGAGTAGGAGGATGAGTTATGAGGAAACTCTCCC